TTTTACTTTTACTTAAGTAAAATGTTAATGTGGTAGTTTTACTTTTACTTAAGTACATTTTTTGAGTACTTCCTCCCCCACTGGTGTGTCAGTTCTCAACCCAATCAGTACATAATAAAATTTTCAGATGATACTGTTATTCTGAGTCTCTTAACAGGCAATCCTGACAGTCATAAATCTGCTGTAGATAAGTTTGTTTTATGGTGCGACTCTCATGAGCTACAGATTAACACCTCAAAAACTGTTGAATTATTTCTGGATCCTAAATCAATCAGTGACCGGAGTCCTATAGCCATACATGGGTGCCCCATTAAACAGGTTACATCTTTTAAATATTTAGGTGTGTTCATGGATGGCGATCTAAGTTGGCGGACACCTGTGACAAATGTATGTGCAGAGGTTCACCAGTGTCTCTATTTTCTTAGACAACTTCGATTGTGTGGTGTTTCTAAAATGATAATGCTGATCTTTTATAGAGCAACCGTCGAGTCTATTCTTAGACCATCACTGGATGGTTTGGAAATCTCACTGTTAAATTAAAAACTCAAATCCAAAGTCTGGTGAAGATGGCAAGCAAGATTTTCAACACTCTGGATCTATCTTCTCCACAACTCCTGTTTGAGCAGGTTACCATCAGGCAAGCTGAGAACATCTTGTCTGATGGGTCATATCAGAATATGTTCTTATGAACTCTGGAAGAAGGTTCAGGGCCTCCCTTTGCAAATACAACCGTCTGAAACATTCATTCGTACCTCTCTCTATTAACTTGATAAATGGCAGACTAGCGAGGAATGGACAGAGCAACAGGAGGTCCAGACAATGACCAAGAGTAGCATGTAGAGCAGGGGTATCCAAAGTGGGTCCTGGAGGGCCGGCATCCTGCATGTTTTAGTTCTCTCCCTGGTTTAGCGCACCTGCATCAAATTATGGCTCATCAGAAGGTCTAAGGAGAACATTGACGAGCTGAGGAAGTTGTTGCTACCACTAGGGAGAGAACTAGAACATGCAGGATGCCGGGCCTCCAGGACTCACTTTGGACACCCCTGATGTAGAGGATGTATTGGGGATGTACTGCTGATCTGATATTTGTGGTTCTATGTATTTTTTTTACTTTGTTTTTTATTTGTTCATGGTTACTGTCCTTTTGGATGAGTTTTTTATCATTGTACTGCAGTTTTTGCCCCTGCTTCCAGGATACATTTCTCCTGCAGGAGACTAATCTATCTATCTATCTATCTATCTATCTATCTATCTATCTATCTATCTATCTATCTATCTATCT